CTTAAAGCCATAGTTTCCAAGAACCCGTCAACTATGTTGAGTAAGGACTTACTGCTGTAACGAGTGCTAGGAGGAAAATTAAAGAAAGAGGACAAGAGAGTGGGGGTTGGGGCGGCAGTGCTGTTTCGTTTGGGTGCCTAGGGAAGGCATCACTGCTAAGGTGACACTTGTAAGGTGACATTTGGGGAGCCCTGAATGAAGTGAGGAAGGAGTTCACTGCCAATGGAGACTGAAGTGGCTGAGAAGTGTGAGTGGGTGGGTCACGAGTCCTCGGACACAGGAGGGAAGCCCCTGAGGACAGGCCACACTAATGGCTGTCTATACGCCATAGCTGTCATCCCTTTTGATTCTTCTAAGAACCTATGAGGTGGGTGTTGTCACCGCATTACAGGCAAGGAGACCAACTCTGGAGGAGGTTTTACATATCTAGTCAGTATTAGGGCCCAGATTGAAACTCGGCTTTTGGCACTTCAGCCCTTGCTGTTAAACTGTTTGAGTAAAAAAGGTAGAGACACTTTGTTTCAGTTTGTGGTCGAGGAGGGCAGTGGAGTGGGAAAGTGGGAATTGGGAGATTTTTTTACCCATCGGTCCCTCTTTATGGTCAGGCCGGTTTGTCAGGTGTCTTGGTGAGAGGCATCTGGACGGGTTTTCAAGGAGAGTGGCAGAGTGGCGTCTTGGTGAGAGGCATCTGGACGGGTTTTCAAGGAGAGTGGCGTTCCCAACACGTGGCTTCCTGCTTAATGGACTCTTCACGGGGCTTATTCCTTGTGCTCTAGTCCCATGCTGGTCTAAACCCCACCTGATAGCAATGTGGAATTACCTTATTTATGCCCGCTGTTGATAGAGGGGTTCTCGGGAACCGTCCTAAAGGTTGAGGGCTGGCATAAATAGATTGTAAAAATACATGTTTGTTGTGGAAAATTTGATGCATATGATTTTTAAAGTTGCTTGCCACGTACTCTGTCTCAAAGTGCCCGATAGAGTTGTAGGGGATGCGGGTCTGTTAGGAACAAAGTTTCCATCCACACTGTTGTCGGCTGAGACGTGAAGGTCCACAGTAGAGTCCGCTGTGTGCATTTGCAAAAACACAGTCCCATGATGAAATAGATTCTCGGTGTGAGCAGGATTGTTAGGAGGTCAGAATTCTCAAGGGGTGGGGAATTCTAGTGATTTCTGTGAATGAATGGTTCAGTAGTGTGAGCTCCATGTTTTGTTTTTTAAATGTCCATAACACAGCCTTGAGGAAGCTAGAAATGGCACAAGCACTGTTGCTGAATTTTGGAGAGAGATAGTAAAAAAGCAAAATTTCAAAATGTTCTTAGTGAAATTTGGCACCCATGTTTCTTATAGAAGTATTGTTAGATGGGTGAGGGTAAGAAGGAATGGGAACTTTTATGCTTTGCTTCTTTTTACATTATTAGCAGCTTACTTTCTCGTGAAGCTAATTAAATGCTACCCTTGTACACAGCGTCGCAGTGCAGCGGGGAGAGCGGGAGTCCTACCGGTTTCCATGATTCAGAAGTTATACACAGGTTTTTTCCCCCCTGTTGATAAATTTCCTGGTTTGCCCACACAGTTAGGGGTTTCAGAATTGTCTGTATTATGTTTCTAATTAAGTATTGAGACCTTGAAATTACAGTTTGATTTGTTCTTTATTCAGCCCAAAGGATCTAATCATAACTTGTGAGTGATGGCAACAGAGGCTGTAAAGCTGTTTCCATTGAGGTGCGGAAGTACAAGCTTTAGGGTGTATCTGTTCATCTATTCCTGGTACATAAAATTTAGCCTTACGGAAAAGAGTTTTGTATTTTTAAAAATGTGTACCATTAAAACAGGTTTAAAAAGTAGAGGTAATTTAAGAGGGATTGTTTGTAGATTATAGGGTGCTATTTAGAGACGTAAAAGTCAGTAAATGCTTGTTGAGCTCCTAGTGACGTTGAGGACACCTGTCATCTTGGGGGTGGCCGCCTGCTGATGTGTTCCCATTCATCAGGGTGCTAGACATGATGTGACAGTAATCACACAGGTTTGCCCGAGTTTGCTTTCGGTGAATTAGAGCAGTCATTCTACAGAAACATCCCTCACTCACTTGGCTTTCACATAGACATTATCTTCTCTCAGAATGGGGCAGGAGAAAGATTTGGTTTTGCATATTTCATCACCTTTTTTCCTCTAACGCTTCAAATTCAAGCTGCACTTGCGTTAGCCCTGTCTTTCCAACCTGTGCTCATCTGCCTTCTCTGACCTTCTCGGGCCCTGTGACGACCCAGGAGTGCCCACGTCTCCTGTGATAGGTATTTTCACATTTTACTTACCTCATCCTTGAGCTTCTTCTGAGGGTCAGGTTTTATTTCCTACCATCTTTGGGATGTAGTCCTTGAAGTGGAACTGGCACATGAAAGGATTTGGAACAGTTTGTAAATTGCCTGAGTGCTCTGCAGAAAGCTTGAAATACTTAAAAGCGCCATTAGCAGTGATGAGTAGGACCTGTTTCCCCACATTCCTGGCAGTGTTAGGGCCCTGCTGCTTTTTATTTTGGTGCTGGTTTGTGGCAGTGAATTGGATGTTGGGTTTTTTGTTCTCTGCTGCATTATAATTGTATCAGTTCTTTATACATTAAAAACTAATTTTTATTAGTCATTGATGAAATTTTTTGTGGCTTCTAATGATTTCATTTCGTTGGGCAGAATTTTATTCAAGCACATATGTCTTATTATTTGTAATCCTTCTTTGTTATTTTGAGACAGAGTCTCACTCTGTTCCCCTGGGTAGAGTGCCATGGCATTCATCATAGCTCACAGCAATCTCAAATTCTTTGGCTTGGAGACTCCTCATACTTCAACCTCCTGAGTAGCTGGAACCACAGGAGTGAACCACAATGCCTTGTTAGTTTTTCTATTTTTTCAATAAAGACGGGGGTCTCACTCTTACTTAGACTGATCTTAAACTCAAGAGCTCAAGCAGTCTACCATCTTGGCCTTTCAGAATGCTAGAATTACAGGCGTGAGCCACCACACCCAGCCCGTAATATCCTTTTTTATTAGCTGGAATTTTTTTCTAAACTTGTTTCTTCATTTTAAAATTTGTGGGGCAGTCTGTGATGGTTGATAAAATCAGTTTTCTGGGATCTGATGCGTAGTAATTTGACATTCAGAGATAAAGGAGATTACTTGTACTGACATAATTTACCTAAAACTGAGTCCACTGTAACCAAGCTTAGAAGAGAATGTTTTTTTTTTTAACTGTCCTGTTTGGTAGCACTTAGCATTTGGAATTTATGCCTTTCTTGAGCTGAATAATTGTTCTATCAAATCCCTGGCAGTGATTTGTAAAAGCCCCAGTTGCTAACTGGACTTTTCTTTCTCCTGATTGAGCCAGTTCTCTGCCTTCCTCCCCTTCCCCTTGGTCTCCAGGACCTGACTGCCTGCTTGGCCACTGTGCTCTTTGCATACAGCAGTATCCTGGAAGACTTGTCTCTCCAGGGGAGAATCTATGGCATTTTATGGTCCTTTGTATAGAAAAATGTCTATTTGGGGGGACAAAAATCCTAATTGGCAGGCATGGAAATGATAATAGCTGTAATAGTAGTCCCAAGGATGAGTGGAATCATCTCTTCCATTTGCATCAAACACGCCATGAACTCACTTAGTATTGAGACTCTAATTTTAACTTTTTTTATATCTGTGGATTGACAAGTTACGGTTGTATATATTTATGGGTACGAAGCGATATTATGATTCATGAACACAATATGGAATGATTAAAATAAAATTAATAGATCCATCACCTCAACTACTTATCTCACTTTAATCTTAAAGCTCTACTTAATGCCTGCTATCACATTCATTTAGTAATGAGAAGTAATTCTGAAATTGAAGGATAATTGTGCGCCCCTGGTATGGTTTTCTGAGTGAGTGATATTTCTATAGCTGTGTCGGATAACCAGGAAATCAGAGTAAACCTTAAATATGAGACAGTGTCTGCCTACATCCAGGCTAGAACCAGAGGCTGAGATGCTGTGATCCTTCCATGGTTTGTAGGTGAGAATTTCAGACCCAAGGCAGTACTACTAGTTAGTGGTGTGGCTGCTCCCACCATCCTGCCTTGCATAGACTATGGCTCTTTCTGTGTCCTAGGATGTGCCAGTGCTTTTGCACTTCTAAAGCCAATTGCTATGCTCTCAGGGTGTACACAAGTCTTTTATGAGAAAAAGTTCGGTGTCATGAAGGACATTATAGTTGGAATGGGGATGGGAGTTCAAGTATTGAGTAGAGTAAAATCAGTCATTTAAAAATATATATGAAATATTACAATGGAATTTATTTTGTCAAGTAATATATGCACATAGTTTAAAATATCAAATTATGTAGGAGAGCTTGTTATGAAATTCAGGTGAAATGCCCTACCTACCTCATACAAACTCCTGTCTCACTCCTTGGAGAAAATGACTTTGAACTCTTGTAGCTTTCTTTTCTACTTCTTAATTTATCTATTATAGACATTATTTTAACTACAAAGACAGTATCTTTTTTTTTTGAAGACAGAGTCTAATTTTGTTACCCTCAGTAGAGTGCAATGGTGTCACAGCTCACAGCAACCTTAAACTCTTGGGCTTAAGCTATTCTTTTGCCTCAGCCTCCCAAGTAGCTAGAACTAAGACACCTGCCACAATGCCTGGGTAAATTTTTGTTGTTGTTTTTGTTGTTGTTGCAGTTGTCATTGTTGTTTAGCAGGCGTGGGCTGGGTTTGAACCCGCCAGCTCTGGTGTCAGTGGCCAGCACCCTAACCACTGAGCTACGAGCACTGAGCCGAGACAGTGTCTTTTTGACTCCATCCTGTCTGGTGCAGTAAATTGGGGTCTGGGATAGGGTTAGATAGACTTAGGTCTGCACTTAGGGCTCAAGGGGTAGTTGGACATGAAATGTTCTGTGGAAGTAACCTTCCGTTTCATGTTTTCCTTCTCTGTCACAGTTAACGTGGAGATGATCAAAACGCTTTATTTTGGTTTTATCGTAATCTTTGCCTTTTTAATGTTTTACAGAAATAAATATCTTCCTTCAATAGATGAAAATGAAAATACAGAAGAAAGAGAAGCAGGTAAGTAATCATGCTTGAGTGAATGCATCTGTCTGGCACTTCTTTAAAAAGAGGAGAGACTGGAGTGTTGCCTCATCTCTTAACCGCTGGCATTCTTCCTCTCTCTGTTTCCTGTTCTCCATGTAGTAACCGAGAGCTCTGTTCTGCATGACTTACTATACGGATTTTTCTTTTTGCTCAGGATATCTTCTTAGAGGAATAAATGTAATGAAAAGTATAAATACGCAGAATGTTGTTCAAAATCAGCTATGTAGAAGAGAAACGCTTCCTCCGTTGGGACAGCTTTCTGAGTTTTTCTTAAAGGGAGCTGTGACCACCTCTTTCTAGTTGATATGTTTATCCTTTGGGACTTTTAATTACACTAAAAGCGTTCTTACATGATGATCTTTTTCATGATGATCTGTGGATGGGTTCCTTCTAGAGCAATGGTTCTCCATCTTCCTAATGCCGCACTGTATTTTCACTGTTTAAAAGGGGTCTCGACCCACAGGTTGAGAACTGCTGTTCTGGAGGGAATAGCCAGCTAAGCAGAAGGATGTGAGCTTTTGGTATTTGGTTTCTTGGGGGCGGGGTGGTGGTGGTGGTGGTGATCTTCCCAGGATCTCTTTCCTTAGTTGATATTCCTGTGCCCTCCGCCCATGCTTATTTATTCAAAGGAACCCTAGGACTCCGAATCCTTGGCTTAGGGAAGTGACAGAGAGAGACCTGCCTCTGTCTCTCAGAAACAGGCTCTCTCCAATGGGCTGGTTTTCCTTATACACAATTGAAAGACAGCCTGGTAACTGGGGGATCTGAATCCCTGCTTTTTGCTGGGACTCTGTGCAGAGAGGTTGTGTGGGACCACCCACTCTTTCTCTTGTTTGGTCCAGGGAGCCTTAGTCAGATATAGGATGACTTAGGATATGGAAAGAGATCCCCCTCTGGTCTGTCATCCGAAATAATTGACTCATCCTGTGCTGCCAGTTCTTAACAGGAAGAGCAGTGAGTAAATGCTGTCTACATGCTGGGTTTCTGTCTGTCCAAGCTCTGTAAAGAGCTGTCAGTTGATAGGCAGACACTACAGAGAATGCAGTCCCGGCTGCCAGGAATTTATCCTAGGAATATACGTAGGTGTGTAAAACTGTCTGTGTAGGGCTTTCATTGCTATTTTATTTATGATAACACAAATGGAAAAGAACCTACATGTCCATCAAAAAGGGTATGATTTAAATCATAGCACATGCATCTGGTGAACTGTGAGAGCCTGAACCCCCCAAACTATTGCCATTTTGATAGGTGAGCAGGTTTTATATTTCTGAAAGCAATCTGTATATTTCATTTTAAAAACATTCTTTATTTTGTTTTATAAAGGTAAAAACATTCTATAACAGTTACCCCCAGATGACTTCTGGTATCTTTTGAGGTCTTACTCGGTAAGATGACCTTTGGTCTGTCAGCCAGCTGTGGCGTAGCCTCAGTTTGATGGGTTTTTGTTTTAGACCTCACAGTAATGTTGATGAACAGAACGGGGTTTTTCATTTAAAAGTTAATGTTAGGTATGCTTTCAGGAAGAGTTGATCCTGCTTCTCTTACAAGTACTGATGTTAGGCGATGCTAATGATTGAGAAGTTGCAGAGCATGAAAATAGAACATTGCATTCAAGCTAAAGCAACGTATAGGCTCTAGGATGGAGAGTTCATTGCCCGACAGAGCTGAGGCATTCATTTTGGAATGAATTTGGACTTTGATTTTAACAGAACAGGATTGAAATTCTTTAACTCTACCACTTAGGTGCATAACTTTGGGTTACATTCAGCCTCGTTTTTCTGTCACTTAAATGGGAGCAGTGATACATACCTCACATCATAGATAAATGAGGTAACTGGTATTCAGTGTGTCGGTGGTAAGGAGACCTTTCAGTTTAGCAAAAACGGCAAATGTCTTTTTTTCTTACCTTGATTTTAAGGTGTTAGAAGTAGCAAACAAAACATCTACTCTTTAAAAACCCTCAGTTCTATTAATTCATTTTTCCTCTTCTCTAGAGAAAAATAACATGTAAATGCATTTGATCTTGAGAATTCTTCATTTCTTTGTTCAGAATCTTAGCAAAGACTTTCAGATTATTAGACCAGGAGATGATAGATGCTACTAGTTAATCAAAACGCAATAATGCATAATCACGCTTCTCATTAACCAGAAAGGTCGTAACAGGAGTGGTATGTTAAGGACACAGGGTTAGAGATTGACTATGTTGCCTGAAGAAGTATTGCAAGGAAAATGGAGTTTAATAAAGTGTTTTATGCATAAAATTAATCACTTGGGGGAGCTGTAGACTTTTTATTAAATAACTAAACTGCTTCTAAGAAATATGTATATTCTAACTCCAAAGATGACTAAGCAGTCTTAGGCAGAAAAAAAATATTAGCTAGAGAAATAAAAAGTGAACTCTAATCATTGTCAACTGTATAACAATTGATACATAACATAGCTGAAAATACTTCTTTGTCAGGGACACAGCCTAATGTTAGTGATGACAAACCTGCGATGTGGGAATACTGGCGTATTCATCTCAGCTCCTTGCGTGGTACTGAGAAAAGTATAAAATATGATAAATAGGATGTGACATGTGGTCTGCTGTAGGTACTTGTAATCTTAGATTTTGGATGAATGTGTCCAGTGTAGAAAAGAGCTAATAAGCAATGAATGCAATAGAAATATGTAGTATTATAAGTGGAATTAAAACTTGGGGCTGTCACCGACAGGTGCTACAGGAGAACCATGACCAAGAGTTGGGTAAGTAGAGTCCTTCGTACTCAGCGGCTCTAGAAAACAGAAAGGTGGAGTGGGAACAGTTTTCTTCAGATACGCTGAAGCAATCACCATGTTTTTTTCCCCCCTAGAATGAATATGGATATAATTTATTCACTAAACAAATATTTGTTGAGTTTTCCAGCATTTGTTTATTGAAGAAAACTTGAGTGCTGCTTGGGGCCAGGTTCAGTAGTAACTAAAAAAGTCTTTCTCTTAAGAAATTTATAGTGGGCGGCGCCTGTGGCTCAAAGGAGTAGGGTGCCAGCCCCATATACTGGAGGTGGCAGGTTCAGACCTGGCCCCGGCCAAAAACTGCAAAAACATCCAGAAAAAAAAAAGAAAGAAATTTATAGTCAGGTTACAGACAGACAATTAAAGTAGGGGATGTCACGTGCCTTAGAAGAACCAGAGTTTTATATCGTGGGTGGAAAGTGATGCTCTGGAATTGAGGAGTATGGATGCAAAGGGAATGCCAGCCCCACTAAACAGAGTGCTGTTAAAGAAGTGGCTTCTTCTAGACCAGAGCGAGCAGGTTTCAGGAACGTTGCCTCAAAGGACCCAGGAGGAAACATTGGGTTGGACAGGAAAAGAATGACATATGAGTGGGTTTGGAAAGACGTAGCCCATGGTGGGAAGGGAGAAAGGGGGAAGTCCTGGAGTGAGGTGCTGAATTCTGAGTGGTAACCAGAGGTGACATAGGATGAAGGAGCCTGCTAGAGTTAGCTGGCCTGTAAATTCTCAACAGAATCGGTCCCAGCTGTGCTCAGGGGCGGGCGCAGGGTAAGGACTCAGATCTCTAGGAAGATGTTAACCGCCATGTGGATCACTAAATCATGAGCCACACTTCAGAATGGTGAAAAGAGGAAGAATAGCAAAGTTGGAGATAGAATATGGAAGAGTAAATAATTCACTTCTGAGACTTTTCAGCCTCATCCCACAGAAGGCCCTGAAGGTCATCTGGGCTAACAGAAGTCAGAGTTTGGGAGTCTTTGAAAGGCCTTTTCCAGCATGTATAAAGAGGGTACCTATTAGTAAACTGTCCAGTAAATCCAAGATTCAAAATAGCCTCACCCTGGAATCATGTTTTAAAAAGAAATTGGAGCATTAAGGGCTTTCTTATAACATACCTTCGAGACTGGAAGGCTGTTTACTTGACTGTTAGCATGAGATGATAGTGTTGGGCTTGATGGCCTCAGAGGTCCATCCAGACTAGAATCTTGGGGGTTGACAGTATATTTATTTTCATATTTTATTTTATTTTTTTATCTTATTTTTTTGAGACAGAGCCTCAAGCTGTCCCCCTGGGTAGAGTGCTGTGGCATCACAGCTCACAGCAACCTCCAACTCCTGGGCTCAAGGGAGTCTCCTGTCTCAGCCTCCCAAGTATCTGGGACCACAGGCGCCTGCCACAACACCTGGCTGTTTTTTGGTTGCAGCCATCATTGTTCATTGGCAGGCCTGGGCTGGATTCAAACCCGCCACCTTAGGTGTGGCTGGCGCCTTAGCCACTTGAGCCATAGGCGCCGAGCCGCAAAATGTGTTCTTAAGGGTGGTGGTTGTAGGTCTGTTGGTAGCTGCCAAGTCCATGTTTGATATTCATTAACTGTCGTCTTGCCACTCTCTGGGTGAAGTCAAAACTGTTAGAAGTAACTTATTTAATGTAGCTTCTATTAAATTGTTCATTAATGTGCTTCTTATCTCATCTGAAGAACAGGTAGATTTGTGAAAAAATGGATAGAAGGGGAAAAGTAAATGATTTGACAGTTGCCTGGGGAAAGATTGAGGAGATACAGTGGTCTTGGGGGATGGAAACAATAGAGGTGGTTTGAGGTTCTTACTGTTTCTTATTTCTGTGTCCAGAACAAGAGGCAGTGCTGTGAAGTAATTAAGAATTAAAATCTGGGTTCAGATCTTAGCTGTACCATGTAACTAGCTTTGTGACCTTGGGTGAGTTATGTATCCTCTCTTTTAAACTTCTACTGTATGAAATGGAGTCATAATTGGAACCATATTATAACTCCTCTTAAGATTGTTTTGGTGATATATTTTCAAGCTTAGTATCTGGCTTAATACTCACTGCTTAGTAAAATTAGCTATTATTGTTATTATCTATATTGGCATACATTTTTTCTTTAAAATATTGAAACAATTCTGGGCACTCAGAATAGGTGTGACTGTATAAAAGAACCATTCCCTATCTGTGGATATAT